TTAAAAAACTCATTTATTTTCCATTTATAAAAAATTCTGTTTTTACCTAACAAAATTAACAACAAGGATATTATTTAAATTTATGTTTTACGCAGAGTATTCTATCGCTGGCTCTTGCAATAGTTCAAGTACACCAGATGGTAGACTTTTTTTTTTTGTTATGTATCTTCTTTCTTAATGTGCAAATTAAAGGATCAGATGCACATAAAAGGCGGTGAAAAAGGTCTATATTGTTTTTTTTCCCATCGCATTTTCTTGTAAAATTTTCACGAAAAATCTTAAAAACCTTATTGGTAGCCTCTTGAGCCTCTTCAGAAAACATACCTATCGGAAGAGTAAATAGTTCGGAGCCTTTATAGCCATGAATCAAAATTTTATGAAGTGTTTGAGTCATAGGATACCAAGGGTACAGGAATACATAGAGCGAAGCAGTTTCCCAACAGAATGTTTTAAATTTGGATGAGTTAATTTCATAACCACTTGATATTGTGGCCAGAATAATATGAAGCCTTTTCATAAGATCTACATTGATGTTCATTATACTAGCTGAGACATCGTATTGCTGAAAAAATCGCCTAGCTGTGTTGACATTGTTTGATGTACCTGCCCCACCTATTCTTGGTTGGTCTATGACAAGACCTATCCTTGTTCGAAATTCAGCACAGACTTCAAGCTTTCTCAGTTTAACAATATTTTTTTTTCGTCTTGATTTCTAGCCTGCCACTTCATAATCGGCATCATATAAGAGATATGGAGCATACATTCTAAAAACCTTATCCAAGCATGCAAAGTTGAAACGCCATGTTTTATATTGCCTTCTAAAGTTTTTTTTGAACAACTAAAGATAAATTGTTCATTTCGATTGGAGATGCACCACACACTGAACAGCATTGGTATGAGTTGGTTGCTGTGGAAATAATAGTTTGAATTTTTCCATCTATCATTGTTAAATTTACAATATGTTGTACTTCAACTTCCTTTATTGTACCGTCCTCCAATAAAACAGGTACAACAGATAATGTTATCTCTTTAATAAAAGCCATAATTGACTCATAATTTGCAAGAATTACTTCATTTGATTCTTTTCTATATTTAAATCTCAGAGGTCTGCAGTAATTAGTTGACGATGGTTTTGGATTTCTCCAAACAACCTGTTTTTTGTCATCTTTGAAACAATATAGTTCTAGAGGAACCAAGCAAGTTATGAAAAGTGATTCATCTGTATGAAGTTCACTAGAAACATCTGACAGTTGTTTATAAACAGATTGTCCTGTTGCACCATCATATCCAGCTTTGTATATTATAAATAGTTTAGTACAATCTTTAAGCACAGGTGAATTTAACACAACACTATAAGCTGAACATATTCTTGATGCAGTATGAAAAAGAAGAGCTTGTAATGGAACCTCTGCAGAGTAGTCACTGACCTGAATGTTTTCAGGGTAGCATTTATTTTTAGCCTCTTTTACAATATGATAGGATGGGTATAGAGAGCTGAATGGAAGAGCATTGTTTCTTAAATGCTGATAAGTTTCTTTGGATAAATTAGCATCTAAGGCTAGCGCTAATGATTGTTCTGAAGTAAGTGATTCTGTCGATAACTCTTTGTTGTATATTTTTTTAACCACTTTTGCTTCTATAAACCTTTTATCCCTTTTCAAACTTTTACTTGCTGCATACAAAAGTTCGTTTAAATTGTATTTACTCTTTAATTATGAGATCTTTAGTTCTCACAGACGCATCTTCAAACAAAATCGAAGGGCGTCCACCTTAAAGTATAATATTATTTTATCAATTATTAAATCGTCGTAATAATAATACAAATAAATTATACACATTATAATAAATTTACACATAGTTAAAGTAAACATACCACAGGTTTTTGTTTTGATTTTTTTTTTACAATATAGTTTGGTTTAAATAAACTTTATATCTTTTTTCAAATACTGCACTTGTTCTATTTGATTTTTTCCACTTGTTTTTAGCTTAAGTTATCATTAGATTCTTCAAAATTGCTTTGGGAAACAAAACTCAAAATCTTTGCATGTAAATCATCATTTTGTAGTAAATTATTTTCCATTATATAATTTATAGAACATCTCCTATCCATTTTTAAGAGATTGTCTGTTCAATAAAATACTTATAATTTGAAAGAAAGTAATTTAAAATGTTTTTAATAAAGTAATTTTTTTACGAGCAGTAACTATGAAACTCAGTTCCTTTTCTTTATTTCTCATTGGTTGTTATTGTGTTTTTTATGGATTACATATAATTTTATTGTTTTCGGAAGTTATAAAATAAATAATAAGTATTATGTCCCAAATTTGTACTACATAGAAGTATATAATTCATATTTTATCACAGTCTCTGAGTTTTTATTACTTTAAAACGGTAGCATAAAAAATTAGGAATAATGGTTTCAATGCGATCTAAATGTTCATTGAGCAAATACAAGGAAGTTACTGGAAAGCAATTAAAAAATACAAAAATATTTAATTTTAAACTTATGTCTTTAATAATAATTATTATAAAGTCAAACTGCAGTTTTTAAATTTTAAATCTTAAATTTTTTGTTATCGATCAAAAACGCATTAACAAGAAACGTGGACATAGTTAATTGAATTTAAAAGTGTATTCGTTTAGGCAGCTATAGGCAGCCAATTTTTATACCACAAGATCAATGTCATATTGGTATTCAATTATATATCATTTTAAGCGGTTGATACAGGTTGATCCGATGGTTTTAAATGATATTTTTGAAAAAAATAAAAACTTATAAATTATTGATGTTTGTTTGCATTGTTGAAAATATTTATACAAAATGCAAAAAGTATTTTTTTTTTATGTGATTTAAATATCAACATAATACTATATAAGTCATTTATAAGTTAAAAAATAAACTTAAACTTCTTTAAAATAAGCAAAAAATAAGCAATCAAAGTTTTCAAAAGATGTAAAAAAATAAAATTTTCACACTTTTTTGTTGTTATTGATAAAAAGTATTTAAGGAAATATTTAAACAACAAATATGGCGTTTTATTGAAAAATTATTTTCTAATAAAATATAATTTCTGGCTTATTAATATATTGAGCAAAATTTGCCATTTTCAAAATTTCAAAATTGAAAAACTTTTTTGTATGGTTTTGCCGGCTTCTGACCCACTGTGCGATGGCAGAATTTATCTTGATTTTTTTTGTATGATTTTTAAAAACATTTTATGCTGCATCTTCCCAAAATATAAAAATTTTTTTGTTAGTATACTTTTTTTTTTTTTTTTAATGTTTCCATTATATTTTTATATGTAAATGGAAATTATTTATACTTTTATCACCTTTGGTGATTAGAATCCAGATAATTTCTATTTGCTATAAGTACCAATATTCAGCACAAACAACAGCTGTAATAAATTTTATTCAATTGCCGAAATTGGTATTAAAAACACCTTAATTGAAAGATTTTGTTAAGAGTACTTTACAAAAAGTTTCTATTGAAAATATCAAACAGATAGAGCTAACTTATTTGACACAACTAACAAAAAGCTACTAACAAAAAAGTACAGAGAATAAGTAGATCAGTATGTTATGGGTTTTAAAACAATTTCAAAAGATGCCACAATGATTTTAATAGAATCACATACTGAGATGAGACCTTAGTTCTGCTCTGTGACTATAATGGTTTTAATAGAATACTGAGATTACTGAGATGAGACCTGCTCATGAGACCTTTAAAACTGAAATAAGTAAAGAGTTACATGTTTACATGTCATTACATGTCAAAACGCAAGTTCTTATCTGAACCTTCTGAACGTTCTGCTCTGTGACTATAAGACAATATCTCTTTCAAACCTAAAATTTTTTAAAAAGTTTTGACAAAAATTTTTTTGTCAAAACTTTTTAAACAATTTTAGGTTTGTTTATTTTTTGAAATATTTCATGTGCATTAGAATGAAATTTTTTTTTTCTCTAAATCTATATTAAGTTGGATCTCAAAAGAAGTATAATTTCAAAATAAGTTTTAAAAATTTAAAGCTTTTAAGTAAAAATTAGTTTTTTATAATTTATTTAAAATAAACTAACATTTTTAAGCATATTTTGAAAAAAGGCAGTTTTCAAGATGTTTTTAAACAATGTCTTTTTAAAATGGTTATATTTTAAAAAAATACTAAAATTTCACTTCTTTTGAGAGCCAACATGATATACTTTGGTAAAAAAATATTTTTAGTTAAATATGATACCTAATATGTTGTCAAGTGTTTTGGTACAGACGCTTTTTTTTAATTAGCTCTTATAATAATTTATAAATAATCAGGTCACAAAACTTCGTTAATTGTGACTGAGTTTTTCAGAAATGTTTTCTTTAATCTCGATTGGATTGATTCGTCTTTTAATTTAAGACTGCCCACTACTGTTAATGTTTCAGTAACAACTTGAATGCAATGTTCAATAGCTTGAATGTGATATGGAAATCTGGGATAATCAACAGCAGTTAATTTACTGGTAATGACGGTCTCTATAAACTGTGTCAAAAAGATTAAATATCAATGAAGATTCAGTGATTTTAAAAGTTTTGCTAATCAATGAGATTGATGTAATTGGAAATATCAGAAGCAATACAGGCCTTATGATGAAGCAGGAGTGATCGCTCCACGCACATGAAACACGCCCGTAAACAACTTGTGAGGCAGAAAATTTGATTTTATAAAAGATATTTTTGCTTAAGTCGAAAGATGTTGAAACAGTAGAGTTTGCATATTGTTAAATAAAGAAATTATATTCATAATAAAGTACGTCACCCATAATTTATTTAGCTCATGCTTAATAAGTAAATAATTTTTCATAACATTCTCATAGGTTGGTAAATTTAATTGGTTTTCCAAAAGGGTGAAAAGGGGACCAAAAACTTTTTTTTTTTTTAATAATTTGCATTGCGTTTAGGTAAAAACATTTTTTTATACTTATATTTTACAATAGTTTTTTATTTTTTTACTTGTTAAATTCAGAGTTTATTGCAAAATCACAAACCCAGTTCTCTTTATCATGCATACATTACTAATATACAAGAATCTATGTTCAAGCTTAAAGAAATTACTAGAAGAATCAATTGGGAGGCGGATACACTAAATCTTATGTAAGATTTATTTATTATTAAAAATCTGTTGTACAAAACCAGACAAACCTACCTTTTATCATTTGTTTTACATATTTATCTAAACTTATTATATTTTTCTTGCATTTGGATTGTTACAGACCTATACTCTAGTTTTACATAAAATCTGATTAAACAATTGCTTTTTGTTTATTAATAAAACTACTATAAGTGAGATCATGTAAAACAAGTCATGTTAAGTGTGTCCCTTACCCTAATATATTTTTCAAGTTAAGTATGTCCCTTACCCTAATATATATATATATATATATATATATATATATATATATATATATATATATATATATATATATATATATATATATATATATATATATATTTTGTTATTACACTACTTAACATTTTATGTTGCTAAAAATAAAAAGGGCACTCATTTCTCTTCTCTTTCAAAATTATCTATTTTAGAAATTGAATAAAAAAATTTAGTTATTATTCATTTTTCAAATAGTGGAAAATAAAATCTAGGCACCTGCAAAGCTTTGATATTTCAAATTGAATCAGAAAAGTGATTTGAAAATCCATTCGTGAAATCTCCATTTATTTGAATTAAATTAAGTTATTAAAAACTTATCAATATTAACTTACAATAATTTATTTTAATTATTATAATTTCTTTTTTTAAATATTTCAAGCTGTGTAAAAATATACAACTACTATTTTCAGGTTTTGTAAATTTATTTCAGAGAGAGCAATTAAATTAAGAAAATTTTTTTAACTTTACTTTTGATTATATTAATAAACATCCTCTCCTATGCATTAAGCACCTAAGAATAATTAAAATTGTTCAAAAAAATAATAATTTTTTAAATTTACATTTGCATAATTAAACATTTCCTAAAGTTACAAATAAACCAGATTATTCTTACCTTAGAGTTAAATTCAATTTTTCTTCCCTGAACTGTTAGCTAATGATCAATAGAGTAAATTTCAATTCTTGAAACTTACAAAATTAAAATCATGTCTCAACAGTATCCAAACTAAAATAAAAGAAAGTTAAGTAATATAGAAATAAAAAATAATAATAAAAAAATGTATCTAACAGAATTTTAGTTAAATATTATTTTTATTATCATTTTTGACTATTTCTATTTCCTAATTAACATAAAGTTATGATTTAAAAGCAGCAGCTTTTAAATCATAATTTGAAGTAAAATTTGCTAAACTTTAGGTGTACACAATTCTAAACCACTTTTGGTGTACACAATTCTAAACCACTTTAGGTGTACACAATTATAAACCACTTTAGGTGTACACAATTATAAACCACTTTAGGTGTACACAATTATAAACCACTTTAGGTGTACACAATTATAAACCACTTTAGGTGTACACAATTCTAAACCACTTTAGGTGTACACAATTCTAAACCACTTTAGGTGTACACAATTCTAAACCACTTTAGGTGTACACAATTCTAAAAAAACCACTTTAGGTGTACACAATTCTAGCACAATTTCACATTCTGTAATATGCCCAGCAGCATTTGGTCCTCAAATGACTTTTTTTGAACATTCAAATGATGTTTAAAAGAATCAAATGATGTTTAAAAGAAATTCTGAACCAAACTTAAGTAAGTTCACGCTTACTAAGTCAAATCTGAAATCAATCCAATCAATGCAAAAAATTTGGGTATTTGTATCTAATTTGTATTAAATATTGTAGACAAAAATACCTCTACAAGCTAATTTCTTCTTCCAAAAGGGCCAATGAGTTGTTAAAACATTTAATTTTTATAGTTATAATAGATATAATAGTTTTAATAAGTTGCAAAAATAATACTGTTATTTGTTAGCTTTATATGTTTTTATAAATAATACTGTTATTTAGTAGTTAGCTTGATATGTTTTTATAAATGATACTGTTATTTAGTAGTTAGCTTGATATGTTTTTACAAATAATTAAAATAGGAAAAAGAATTGGTGAATAGGTTAACATATTAGTGATTCGATTAGTAATAAAAAGCACATCTAAATATTTTATATAAATATTTTTTAAATAATTTTGTGTGGATGCATTCTCAATCACCCCCTAAATATAACTAATTGTATTAAAAGTTTTAACAAATGCAAAAATGGTTTTCCATCTTTCCCTTCCAAAACCTATAATTTGGTGTATGTGTTTTTTAACTTCATTATTTGCATGTAAAATTTATAACATGTAAATTATGTAAAGTTTATAATTTAACAAATACTATATGTAAATTGTTTATATATTTATAAAAGTATATCTGGTCCTTAAAATATACCATGTAAAAAATAAACGAAGATGACTGGAATATCCATTCACAAAAACGTCATATTATTGGCAGCATTATTTAAAATTGTCAAATGAATTAAAGTTAGATAAACTTTTGTATGGTTTGGTGAAGTTTTTTTTAATAAAAAAACAAAGAAAAAAATAACTAATAATTAATGCATCTAAGTTTTGATTTCTTTTCCTTAGTTCCTTGTTGGTTAATGATTAAAAGACTAAATTTGTTAATAATGTAAATATTTTTTTAAATGGTGGTTAAGATTTTTAAGTGTTTATTATGGTGAAGTACTCAAAAATGATGGTTTTTAAAAGTAAATACTAATTCTTCTTTGATCTTGATAAATATAAGTCCTCTTAAATTGCTACAACTAGTCAGTCAAGAGTTGCTCCTGGTAAAACTAAATTACTACATGTTTAACAAACATTAAAATTCAAAAATGCAAGGACCTTAGATATAGATTCTTTTCAGTTAAACCAAGAAAGTTTCCTTTATAAGTTATCTAAAGAAGTTTAATGTAAAGCAATTGAGACAAATAATTATAATAAAAAATCAAGAAAAAATGTTCTAGCCAGAAAATTCTAATAACATTTTGGTTAGAAAAAAAAGAGTTTAATGTTTATTATTTGTATTTTTCAATTGCAGATATCAGGCAAATTGTTGCAAAAAAATGGTATTATATCTTTACCAAAAAAAAAAATATCCCAAGAGACTGATGAAAATAGGAAGCGATTTCCTTGAAAAATTTTTTTTGTGAGTATTTGATTATTAAGACATTTTCTTAAAAATGAGTTGTGTTCTAAAGATGACAATTACGAAAATAATGAAAAGACATTTATGAAGATAATTATTTTTGTATAGGTTACAAACAATGGAAGAAGACAGACAGATCTGAGCTTTGTCTAAAACTGAAACCACAAGTAGCTTTATTAATACTCTGACCCATAAGTTACAAAAAGTTACTATCCATTCTTACATTATAAAAAGTCAAACTGTTTCTTATTAAAATAAAAAATGAGTTACATAGTACAATGGTCATTGTGACTTTTGTGTGTCATCTGTAACTTTTTTGAAAATTATGAGTTTGTTGTATAAGGCAAAATACAAAGTTTTCACTAAAATAAAATTTAAGCAATATTCTATCCAACAGTAGTTTATTAATAAGTATATAATATACTCAAATGTGGTGCAATTTTTTTTATCTCTAATGATTTACTAGATAATATAGATATAATATATAATGTGATTAAGTTAACAATTGAACATATTAAAAGCAATACTTTTAAAGAAATAAAAACTGTTCATTACTTTTTAGGTGGGTGTGCTAACCAATATAAAAACTGCAAGCATAAATGTTTGCCACCATTAACAAGATTTTGCTATGAAATTGTCATTCTTTGCAATAAGTCACAATAAATAGATCTGTAAGTCAGTCTTTTAATCGCTCACATTTTCTTTCTTTGCATAATAAATCACTCAGTGGCGATAGTAGTCGGACTGTGAAAAGACTAACTTGAATTGCTAGCCTTCATAAAACAATAACTAACTATATACTTATGACATCCGTTTAATTTTTGCAGAAATGAAATCTTATGAATCAGTTTTTAGTACAATCTAAGGAGTCAAACACAATAATCCGAACTGTAATAGAGCAGAGATATCCAAGTGCAAAAACTTCCTATAAGTAACAAAATAAATTAGAACTAATGTTGTTTCTGGGCGATTACTGTTCTATAGTTGTTCTTTTACCTAGCCTTCTTTATTTACTTTTTTATTTATTTTTAATTTTCATTTAATTTTCTTTGTTTTTATTACTTTTTTCTTTTAAAATTTTTCTCTTTGTTTAGTTCTTTTTTCTTTTGCCCATTTTTTTATTTGCATGATTTAATTTTTAAATTTATTTTATCTTTATTTTTTATAGTTATAAGAAAGATAGAGTTTGGAAGCCAACAAAAACGCATTGTTTTAACTCTTTCATTCTGTTTTTTTTGGTTTCCTGACTTCCGAATCTGTACAGAAACATTGCTGTTGTTAGCGTTTTGTTGGTACTGTTTACGCATATAAATTTAGACAGATAACCTGTCTAAATTTATTACAAAGTTTTTGCAACCATTTTGCAACCCAAGTTTTTGCAACCCCTGCCACTTTTATCCCTGGGATCCCGGGGATAAAAGTGGCAGCGGGATTTCCCGGGATTCACTCTTATATCCTGAAATATAATTTTAAAAAAATTTTACATATGATAACTGTATGAACTATTTCGACCAAAAATAAGAAAAATATTATTACATTTAGCTGTGTTTTATGTGTTCATACCTTATATTAAAACCTAGCACAACAAGAAATGTTATTGAAACTATCTTAAACTATCTAACTCAAGGAAAGCATTGTAATGCTATGTTTTCTTTTTTCTTGTTATTATAAAATATGAGTAAAAAATAAAAAAGATTTTTTGTGACGAAAACAGTAAGTTTGATTTTTTAACTTCTAAATTATTGAAAAGTGAAACTTTTTCTGTATTGAATTATTGAAATTTTAATAATTTTTGTGTTTAAAAAACGGAAAACCAAGACATTTAAAGTCATACATAAGATAGCATACTTATGTAAGAAATATTTGTAACTTTACTTTTAGTTGTTTTACAATTCAATTTAGTTATACCATGTCAATTGTAAATGGATTGAAAGCATGGCAATATTTTTGTAAAGAA